CAATTTCACTGGCCCCTCCTAGGAGACAGGGCACATTAGAAGCCCAAGTAAAGTCATGATTCTATAACTAAGTAAGAAGAAAATGGTTTTATATAATCACGAGCAATTTCTAATACAGCACGTATTTTGTTTTAAAAACTATGGATTCAGAGTTATCCGTGTTATAATGTCATTCAAGACTTCTTCTTGAATGTTGCTCAGACAGAAAGGGAGAGAATTAAACCAGTTTTCAGGAAGTTTATGTAGACATAAATATGTCCGAGCTCTAACTTCAGAAATTGTACACAGGCACAAACATATATATATCTGGGCTCTAACCATTTCTGGGATCTAACATCAGATCCCAGTTTTAGCACTGAAGAGCTGTGACCACAGGCAAGTTACTGACCCTCTCCCTGCATCACATATAGCCTACCTGTAATGTAAGTGTGATAAACAGTGGCACTTACTTTATCTATTCTGCAAATGAAATGCAATAGTACAGTAGGGGAAAGGTGAGGATTCATCCGAAATCTGCTGTAGTGTGAGTGACTGAGCAAGCCAACAGAAAGATTCCAGTCAGAGTGGGCCATCTAAATCAGTGATGTTGCGGGAAGAACACTGGAGTGGGGTGGATTGACTCCGAGTGTGACTATAGGAGCCCAGAGGCAGAGTGGAGGGAACGATGGATGGCTTGGTTGTCAAGACTCTAAAGGACCTGGCATTGGCCGAGTTGGCCATCTAGAGGCTGAGGTGGTACAGGGTAATGGCAGGAGGGACAGGAGACAATGGGGTGAAGAGGAGGCCACAGTCTCCATGCCAGGGTGGCGAGTGAATGTGGCCGTGTCTGGCATATCATGGAGGGAAGTTTCAAGGATGGGCGGAAGATCTGGCCAGTTAATAGGAGCCTCCAAGGATGAGAGTTTGTTTGCTTGCTTTAATAAATGGAAGAAGAGAAGTATTCTGGAAGCAGGGATGGAGAATAAGTAGTCTAACAGAATCCTCTACCAACACCTGGCATTGTGGAATATAAAAGAGAATACAACACTATAAAAACCATACAAAATCTCATTCCTGTAGTCCCAGCACTTTGGGAGGCCAGCGTGGGAGGACATAGTGGGCAACATAGTAAGACCGTGTCTCTACCAAAAAAAGACAACACAAAATAATCACACCACCTAAAAGCTGACTCTGGAATATCTTGGCATCTTTCCTTGCAGTCATTTTTCATCATATGAATGTGCATATTTACATGTATCTATAATAATAATACTAGCTAATCTAACATGGCACTTCCTATATGCCCTGTATTGTCTAAGAGTTTTACAGATATTAATTCATTTAATACACATAACAACCCCATAAAGTACATAGTATTATTATCCTCATTTTACAGATGAGAAAACTGAGACAGAGGTTAAGTAGTAAGTCATCCAAGTATGTACATAGCTAGGAAGAGGTGATACCAGGCTATGAATCATGCTAATTACACTGCACGGTACCAGGATGGGGAGAATGAATACGTCATATGCGTAATTTTGTAACTTACTTGCTACTTAATATTTTGTTGTCATGTTTCTCCTGTCTTTAAGTATTCTTTGCAAATATGACTTAGGATGCCTCTGTGGTACCCGTTCCTGCTAACTAACCACAGTATACTCAGTTTCTCCCTCTGGTGGATCTTTAAGCTCTTCTTCACATGCTTCTCTTAGAGGATTTTTAACTATTTAGGAATTGCTGTTGAAGAACACAAAAACCTCTGGAGTTGATTAGCTCTGGTTAAAAAAAGAAAACAAAAATCACCATGCTGGCTGAAAAACTGAAGCCCAGCAAATGTACAAGTTTTCAAAGTCCTGACAGACTGGAAAATACCAATGGATATCTGGCATCTCATTGGCTCCTGGGAACCTACAGTAAAGGAATAGAAACTCAGGCAGAGATTTAGGTATAGAAACATATGTGGTATCGTTACTTAACAGCAAAAACTATTAGAAATAACTGCCAAAAACTAAGGGAAAGGTTAAATGAGTTATGGTATATCCATTTATTATATAGTCATTTATTTATTTATGAGATGGAGTCTCATTCTGTCACCCAGGCTGGAGTGCAATGGAGAGATGGCAAGGCTCACTGCAACTTCCACCTCCTGGGTTCAAGCAACTCTCCTGCCACAGCCTCCTGAGTAGCTGGGATACCAGGCGTGCACCACCACGCCTGGCTAATTTTTATATTTTTAGTAGAGGTGGGGTTTACGGGGTTTCACCATGTTGGCCAGGCTGGTCTTGAACTCCTGACCTCAGGTAATCCACCCACCTCAGCCTCCCAAAGTGCTTGGATTACAGGTGTGAGCCACTACACCCAGCCTAAATAGCCACTTAAAATTATATTTTCCAATAATATTTGATGATATGAAGAATTATCATCATGTAATTTTGAAAAGAAGGATTTAAATGTTAATACTACTTATCTCAGCATGGTGTTATTACAGATTATTTTCTCTTTGTGCCTTTTTCCAAATCTCTAATTTCTTGCCACTTCTATCAGAAGATAAAGCAGTAATGTTATGTAAAAATTAGAGCCATAGACTTAAATAAATCTGTGACTAAGCAAAGTTGTGTAATCTTATCACGAAGGTTTAGAAAGTTGATAATGCCCAGTGTTGCTGAGAGTGGGCGTGAGAGTATTTTGTGCATAGTTGGTAGGTGGAAAAATTGGTGTAAATCTATCTGGAACATGGTTTGGCTGTATCTATTAAACTTAATATACTTACTTATTCTGCTTTTAGTACACTTCTGCAAGTGTACTAAAAGAATAAGTAAGTATATTTTCATTTAGTCATGTCAGTTTTTGTCATACTTCAAACAACACAAATGTCCACCAATAGAGCATTAAAATGAGATAAATAAACCCCATAACTATGCAGTGGCATATGCACAGTCATTAAAAAAGAATGACGCGCACCCGTAAGTGTCAATATCAAGACACATCTAACACACATTTTTAGAAAACATCAAGTTACAGTACAGCATATGTAGTGTGATCTCACTTTGTGATATTTTCAAACACACAAGGAAGTGAGTCTTGCTGTTAGAGGTGTCATTAGGCCTCGGGGAGAAGTAGGGACTATTGTTCTTATTTTTTATACTCTTCGGTATTATTCAATGTTCTAAATTAATGTTCATCCAAAAAAGAAGTACCAAATTTTGTTAGACATGGAAGGAACTTTTAGAGGTCACTTGTGCAAATCTTGTAGCTAATCTTAGGTGATCCATCCTCCTGTTTCCACAGTAAAGCACATGTTCATTATAAAGGGAGAGAATGAACTTTAGTTAATGAACACTGGGCAATACAAAGAGTCAGAATACGTTGAAGGTCATAGTTCCTATAGTTTGTTACTCTAAATTGGATGACACATCAATGAGGGCAAACAGAGGGATGAATGGAAAATAGAGTATCTATTAGAGAGCTACAGGATATAGCGAAATCTTTTCTAGACATTAGAAGCAAGTACAGCATGGCTAGTGCAAAAACCTGAAGTGTGGGCCCAAAAGGCCTTTGCTGATTTTGAGCTGTGTAACTCTGGGCAAATTACTGTCTCTGGGGCACCTTTCTTACGGATCAGAAAATGATGTATGAAAAGAGATTGGTTCTAGGTAATAGAAAACATTTAATAAATTATTCTTATCATGTTTCCATTATCCATATCACCAGTGAACTATAGCAAGAAAATGGCTGTTTTCTTTGAGTTGACAAAATAAACCTTACTTTGTTTAAGTCACAAATTTGCCAGCTCTTTGTAATTTAAGAAATTAATCTGCATGCAGACTTAGGGTGGTACCAACAGGTAACTCGTAACAAGTCCAACAAATGCTTTCCTCTTGGGCATCGCCACCAGCAGTGCCTGCCAGGGCTTCATCACTTCTCTGCTGGTGATTTTTGTTTCCATGTCAACACTCACATTAGCTGCCTTTTTCACTTTCAGCGTCTGAGCAGGTGCTCAGTTTTCCAAAACATCCCAAGGTAAATAGTGTTGGTTCCAACATTTTTAAAGGAATTATTGCTGATGTCTAAACTGAAAGCCTTTCACACATTCATTTTTTCTTTCTTGTTGATAGACTCAATTGTACCTTTCATCTATGATCCAAGGTAGTTAAATACCCAACCCTGAATGCTGCTTTCTGTTTTACTGTGGAAGGAGACTGGTCTTGTGCCCTATGTCTCTTCCAGATAACTGGTATCAGCCCCACCAGGACCTTGAGAGTGCCGGCGGTTCCCATGGACCATGAGGGCTGAGGTACACTGCTCATGCCCTGACCAAAGATGTAGTTTTCAGATCTCACTCGCAGTCTGACCTTCCTTTTAAATACACCCCAGTCCATGATCACAAAGTGCTCTTGGTGGAAAACCTCTTGAGGCAGCTTCAAAATTTCAACCGTTTTGAATTTCCTCTGCCTTGTCTTATAACCTTTGATTGTCTAAGGTGGTTTTATGGGAATGACATATATGCTTACTCCCACCAAAAAGTGTTTATACTGTCCTCAAATATGGCAAAGATCTTGAATTATTTTCAACTTTGAAAGCTTTCTCTGGTCCACATCTTCTTACTTACATATTCATTAAAATTCATAGGGATGGCTGAGCGTGGCGGGTCATGCCTGTGATCCCAGCACTTGAGGAGGCCAAGGCAGGTGGATCACGAGGTCAGTACTTCGAGACCAGCCTGGCCAACATGGTGAAACCCCGTCTCTGCTAAAAATACAAAAATTAGCCAGGCATGGCAGCACACAACCATAATCCCAGGTACTTGTTGCTTGAACCCGGGAAGTGGAGGTTGCAGCGAGCCAAGATTGGGCCGTTGCACTCCAGCCCGGGCAACAGTGCAAGACTCTGTCTCAAAAAAATAAAAAAGAAATGTCCTATATGATGCAGCATCTATTGTGCTGGGTTTGCAGCTCTCTGGAAGCCAGCCTTGCCAAGCACATTGTTCACAGCCCCAAAAGTCTCTTGGTTCTCTCCCTTAGGCATGATGCACTCTCCTGGCTTTGATGCCAACAGCAGCCTCAGCTTCCAGATGCTGATGAACGCAGACAGCCTCTATGCAGCTGCACACTATGCCCTGCTCCTCAACCTGAAGCTCTCCCACGGTGACTACTACAGGAAGCGGCCGACCCTGTCACCAGGCGTGATGGTGAGTGTGCCACCCGTCGTTGGACTGGCTAAGGGCAGGCTGTGGTCTCCTGGTGTACCACCTGGCGACAGTGCCTGAGTGGGATGGCACAGTGTGTTTTGTTCCACACAGCTCTCGACTGGGGGTAATGTCTGTGGGACTTTAGGGGGTGGAAGGAGATGACACATATATAAGGGCACAGATACGCAGTTGCCCAGCACTGGGAGTGTAGAGCTACTCGCTGGGCTCCAGTGAAGAGCATGTGGACATGACGTCCTGGAAATGGTTGCATAGGGACAACCTAGTAGTTTCATCCAATAACATTATTAAACACATGTGTATAAAGCATGTTCAAAACCACATCATTGACATGTTAGGGCAGATCAGAAGGTGTGCAGGGAATTTGCTGAAAATGAGTTGTGCCTTTTTTTTTTTTTTTTTTTGAAACAGGGTCTTGCTTTGTTGTCCAGGCTGGAGTGTAGTGGGGGGATCATGGCATGGCTCACGGCAACCTCAGACTCCTGGGCTCAAGTAGTCCTCCCACCTCAGCTCCCAAGTAGCTGGGACTACAGGGGTGCACCACCATGCCTGGCTAATTTTTTAAATTATTTTTTGTAAAGACAGGGTCTCACTATGTTGTCCAGGCTGGCCTTGAGCTCCTCGGCTCAAGCAGTTCTCCCACCTTGCACTCCCAAAGGGCTGAGATTACAGGCATGAGCCACCATGGCTGGCTGAAGGTGTGCACTTAAAAAGCTCTTCACCGTATTCCAATATGTTCCTAGACCTATTGACCCAGAACTAAGCTCACTGGCTGTTTCTCACAAGCACCTCCTATAAGGAGTGCAGTGAGAATGCTGATTGTCCTGTAGTTAGCTTTCTGTCCCTTGTTCCTGTGATGGAGCAAGCCACTCCATGGTGTACCCTATTATCAGGTCCTGAGCCTAAATCCATGGATCTATGTGAAGGAAATCCATAATCATTTGTTTGCTTGATAAATTGTAAATTCCCAAAGGTAAGTGATTACTTCATGAGCATAAGTGAAGCATCTCTTGAAATGTGCACATTCCTGCAGAAATGTGTTCCATCTCTGCTGCTGGGACTCTTAGAAAAGGAAGCTCTGTTACTCTATTAAAGACGTCTGTGCAGTTGGCAGCTGCAAACCCTTCCACACATCCAAGAGTAAGAATATAAAATGCAGTCTCTCTAATCCCTCTGCAAGGTATCTGTCAAAAGGTGTCATCAGTGAAGGGAATGTCATCAGTGAAGGGAGCCTCAGCACATGTGGGAATCCTCCATCTCTGCTTCTCCCCACTTGCCAGCCCCTTAGCGAATACACAAGGCTTGGTTTAGTTCGGGGCTCTGTGACTTGAAGAGGCAGCAGAGGCACGTAGGAGCCTGTTCGTGAGTGAGGTGTTATGTGGTCACCTTCTCATGTGATCTCTCTGTAGAAGGAGTTCATGAAGCAGGTGCAGTCCAGCGGCGTGCTGATGGTCTTCTCCCCAGCCTGGATTGAGGAGCTCTACCATCAGGTGCTCGACAGGAACATGCTCGGAGAGGCTGGCTACTGGGGCAGCCCGGAAGATAACAGCCTTCCCCTCATCACAATGCTGACCGGTCAGTGGTTCCTCGCAAAGCTTTGGGGCACGTGGTAGGGTGGAATGGCTTACACTTTAAAGCCTCTTTCAGAAAAGCAATGGTGTTTGGAGCAGACTTTGAAACAACACCCTCAGTTAGTGACAACAACTTCCCTAGCAGTTAGTGACAGTTCCAGGGAAGTGTCATGAGTTCACTTCACAGGAGTTTTCTGTCCCTTTTCCATGTGGCAGTCTGTAGGGCTCACTGTGCCCCATTAGATGAGGACTAACTTAGTACCTTTGTTGGTGGAAAACTATAGGCCACATGGATAGGATGTGTAGGCCCAGGATTATTCCTGGTAGCTCTCACATGCTAATAGAAGTCCATATCATTTCGTGTTCTTGAGATTTACCAGTAAATGTAAAATGGCTGATTTTAAAGTTGGCTTCCTGGCCGAGTGCAGTGGTTCAGTCCTGTAATCCTAGCACTTTGGGAGGCGGAGGTGGGCTGATCACCTGAGGTCAGGAGTTGAAGACCAGCCTGGCCAACATGGCAAAACTCCATCTTTACTAAAAACACAAAAATCAGCTGGGCCTGGTGGTAGGTGCCTCTAATCCCAGCTACTCAGGAGGCTGAGGCAGGAGAATCACTTGAACCTGAGAGGTGGAGGTTGCACCTTTGCACTCCAGGTTGGGTGCCAGGAGCAAGACGCTGTCTCAAAACAAAAATTGGTTTCCTTCTGTTTTCTATTCATATCAGAGGCCATCCTTTCCCTTCCCAGCTGTACCAGAATTAAGAATATTGCCAAATACTTACCTGCTCAGCGTCTTTGTCTTCAGTGTCCAGAGCTTTTATTTTTTCTTAAGAAAATATTTATTCAGGAATAGGCATTGCAATGGAAATATGCCCGCCAGAGTAAACTATGTGTGTATTCACGGAGGTACAGGACGACAAAGGTGTTTAAAGGGAAAATGAGGAGGATTTCATTATTGTTTTCACATAATGATCCTTGAGTAAAGGATCAGTAACAAGGGCGGCACCAGTTTAAACTGGACAGGCAAGCAGGTGCTGGGAAGATGTCCTCACAGGAGTATTATTTTGTGTAAGGTTGCAATGGCTTGTGAGCAAGTTGGTGCATTTGTGCAGCCTCATGTGATAGTTCTCTCTAGGTATAATTTCAGCGATTACTTTATTAAAGGGATATGTGTGCAGGTTTGCTACCTGGGTATATTACATGATGCTGAGGTTTGGGGTGAATTGATCCCATCACTGATACTGAGTATAGCAGCCAACAGTTTTCAACTCTGTCCTCTCCCTCCCTCCATCTCCTGCCTTGCAGTCCCAGCGTCTATTGTTACCTTTTGATGTCCATGAGTACCCAGTGTTTAGCTCCCACTTATAAGTGAGAACATAACGCCATTTGGTTTTCTTTTTCTTTCTTTTTTTTTTGAGACAGTGTCTCACTCTGTTGCCCAGGCTGGAGTTCAGTGGCACAATCTTGGCTCACTGCAACCTCCGCCCCCCGGGTTTAAGCAGTTCTCCTGACTCAGCCTCCCGAGTAACCAGGATTACAGGTGCCCACTGCCACACCTGGCTAATTTTTTGTATTTTAGCAGAGATGGGGTTTCACTGTATTGCCCAGGCTGGTCTTGAATTCCTGAGCTGAGGCAATCAGTCCACCTTGGCCTCCCAAAGTGCGCAGATTACAGGCATGAGCCACCAAGCCCATTTGGTTTGCTGTTCCTGCATTAACTCACTTGGGATAAAGGCCTTCACCTGAGTCCATGTTGCTACACAGGACATGACTTTGGGGTTTCTTTGTGGTTGTGTAGTGTTCCAGGGTGTATATGGACCACAAGAACTTTTGAAATCCTATCGAACAATTAGAAATGTCACATGAGAGTGTAGAGAGCAGTATGCCATATTGTCGTGGAGCAACATGTTTTGGCAAAACCAGCTTTTCATGGCTTCTTGTGGCTTGGCCATAGTGCTGAAGATTGGGGAGACAGCAAAAGTTTAGTCTGGTCATCACTTGCCTTAATAAGTTAGCGCTCCAGGCTTGTCTGAATTGGCTCTGAGTCCCCAGACTGGTTTTTTTTTTTTTTTATCTGTTTGGGTTTTGGTTTTTTGTTTGGTTGTTTTTTTGAGACAGAGTCCAGCTCTGTGGCCCAGGCTGGAGTGTGGTGGCGCCGTCTCGGCTCATGCAACCTCCACCTCCTGCGTTTGAGTGATTCTCCTGCCTCAGCTTCCTGCCGTAGCTGGTATTACAGGTGCCCACCACCATGCCCAGCTAATTTTTATATTTTGAGTAGAGACAGGGTTTTACCATGTTGGCCAGCCTGGTCTCGACTCCTGACCTCAAGGGATCTGCCCGCCTTGGCCTCCCAAAGTGCTGGGATTACAGGCGTGAGCCGCATACCTACCTTCCCCAGACTGGCTTCTGATCTCAGTTATTCTCTCCTGGCTCCAGCAGAAGGAGGTGCAGAGCATGGCCCTCCCTCTCTGGAGCGTCTGTATGTATCTTCACACAGCTTGACATGGCTCTGTGCCCGACAAGAATAGCACTGGGCTTGGCAGGACAGTCCAGCTGGGATGCAGAATCTGTTGTCCAAAGGGCATGTTATATTGCCTATGGTTGGCACTGGGGGTTCTTACAAGGTTTCAGAGTAAACTACTGGCAGGTGGAAGCCAGCCATGTGGAATTGGGGGTGAGGCACTATTTAGGAATCAGGCAGAAGGTCAGGACATGCAGCGAGGTCTGTCCATAGGTGGCAGAGTCCCGGTCATTGTTTGTCACTTGGAGTCTTGCTTCAAGAACTAGGATGGAATTGGGGGAAGTAAGATTGAACCTCAAACCTTGGGGATCAGGATCACTGGAGAGGTGATCAATTTGTATTTTGTTAATTATTATAGCATTTATATCCATTTAAAAAATAAACATTCAGGCCAGGCACAGTGGCTCACGCCTATAATCCCAGAACTTTGGGAGGCCAAGGCAGGTGGATCACTTGAGGTCAGGAGTTCGAGACCAGCCTGGTCAACATGGTGAAATCCCATATCTACAAAAAAATAACAAAAATTAGACAACTGCAGTCCCAGTTACCTGGAGGGCTGAGGCGGGAGAATCCCTTGAACCTGGGAGGCAGAGGTTGTAGTGAGCTGAGATCACGTCACTGCACTCCAGCCCGAGTGATAGAGCGAGACTCTGTCTAAAAAAAAAAAAGAAAGAAAAACATCATTCAAATGTGTGAGAGCTATTTATTTAGTTTACCTATAAACAATCCTTGGCTTCCATCTGTTTTCACAAACTCCTTTCAGTAGGGATGGAAGTTACTGCCCAGAGCTTCTAAGTCTGAGAATTTGGATGAGGATCCTAAACATTCCAACTTTAATTTGCAAATACCATAGTTTCTCTGTGCCAAAAGTAATCTCTGTGACTCTCTTGCCCGGACCTTAATAAAAGGAGTCATTCAGTAGATGTAAAATGAATAAGTAATAGACTATTCACAGCTCCCATATTCATCAGTCATCACTGTTAATTAGCCGTCGCTGTTATTAATGGAACAATAAGCTCAATTGCTATGTCCATAGGAAAGTTATTTAACTTTAATGATAGAAAAAGGCTTTTCATAAGAATTTAACAAAATAAGGGTCTGTGATTCTTTGTGATTCTAAATTCCAGGTATGAAGTGACAAGTGAATCAGAACAGCAGTTAACCTAGAGTTTGGAGACTTCTGTCTGATCTTTTCATTCTGTATGAAGAGAAGCATTGCCAGCAATCTCATGATCAATCAATCATGTACTAACTGTGGCCATTCCTGACGTCATGTCAGAGTATTGTATAGAACTGTGGAATTTTAGCACAGAAATAAATTTTACGTTACTTGAATTCTTCAGAGCTTTGCCTAGCACATAGAAAACATTAATTGGTTGGGTGTGGTGGCTCACGCCTGTAATCTCAGCACTTTGGGAGGCTGAAGCAGGTGGTTTGAGACCAGCCTGACCAACATGGTGAAACCCTGTCTCTACTAAAAAATACAAAAATTAGCCAGGCATAGTGGCACACGCCTGTAATCCCAGCTACTCAGGAGGCTGAGGCAGGAGAATCGCTCAAACCCGGGAGGCAGAGGTTGCAGTGAGTCATGATCATGCCACTGTACTCCAGCCTGGGCGACAGAGCAAGACCCCATCTCAGAAAAAAGAAGAGAAAGAAAACATTCATTATACTTTGATAAATGAAAATTTCTGGCGAATGTCATCAGACCATTTGACTCTATGTCAAATTAATTTCAGAGAAAGTCTGTTTTCACCTTAGCAGACGTACAGATTTCTTCCGTTTTTGGTTCTATAGTTGCTGAGAAGTGTCCAGGCTTTTTGTAATTTCTGTAAGAATCAAAGATGCAGTGATATAATTTTCAAACACCATGCAAAGAATTCTCATCCTCTTGGGGGGATGGTAAAGTCCTAAACTCAGGACTTTATAAATACTAATAATTACAGGCAGTGGCTCACGCCTATAATTCCAGCACTTTGAAAGGCAGAGGCGGGACCAGCTTGGCCGTTATGATGAAATCCTGTCTCTAATAAAAACACAAAAATTAGCGAGGTGTGGTGGCATATGCCTATAATCCCAGCTATTCAGGAGGCTGAGGCATGAGAATCACTTGAACCCAGGAGGGGGAAGTTGGAGTGAGCCGAGATTGCACCACTGCACTCCAGCCTGGGCGACAGAGCAAGACTCTGTCTCAAACACACACACACACACACACACACGCACACACACACGCAACTACCCTCCTTTCCCATCCCTCCCTATGTTGCATTCAGCTATATTAATTGCATCCAAGTATGTATGTTTCAACTCCATAGTCACTTTTCCAGTGGTTACTTCCTTTATATCAAGGAACTCGGGGCCCTGGAGAGCCTGGCCCAGGGCTACAAGGCTACTTAATTCAGAGCAAAGATGAAAGCTCAGCCTTCTTAGCCCCACTCCAGTCCTTTCCTTGCCATGATGTTAAAGAGTGGTTTGTTGAGCTAATTCTGTAGAAGAGAATTTGTTTCAACAAAAACTTAAAACAGGTTAATTGAAGATCCAGTATGGAGCTGGAATAGTTAGAGAGGCCTGGATGGTAGTCAGAAGACATGAATACTAATTCTTTCCATCATCAGCCTCATGGCCTTCAGCCATTTACCTACTTTAAATACAGTCATGCATCCTTTAGCAAGGACAGGAACATGTTCTGAGACATGCATATTAGGCAATTTTGTCATTATGTGACCATCATAGAGTCACTTATACACCTAGGCTACAAATCTGCACCGCATGTATTGAATACTGTAAGCAGTGTCTCAACACAGTGGCAAGTATTGTGTATCTAAACATAGAAAAGGTGCAATAAAAATATGCTATTATAATCTTATGGGACCACTGTCTTATATGCAGTCCATGGTCAACCGAAGCATCATTTTGTGGTGCAAGACTCTTATTTGTTTCTTCCTTTGTGAAATAAAAATAATACTGACCTGCTTACCTAATTTGAATCGCTTTGATGATCAAGTGAAAAAATGTTATGTGAAAACACTTTGAAAATGATAAGGTATTATTTATTGTACTTTGCAATCTGAGTATGTGATTATCTGACTGAAGAGGCTTATTCTCTTTTTAATTCATATATGGAGGCCCTGAAAGAAAAGCTCACATCTGGGTAACCTTACATATTAAATTGGGGAATAATCCATGGTTTTCAATAAAAAGAGTATTTAATATCAAAAGATTCTAAATTAATTTTCTAACAGAAATAATTTATAATTTACATCTATTTTTAAATAAAGATAGGCAAAAATGTAACAAAAGAATAAATACTCCAACATGAAATAAAGCTAGACTGAGAGAATAAAACAAATTATGATATTCTCATAAAAGGTTGCTGCATGCTTCAAACATAAAAGATAAAAGGGATATTTATTAAAAGTGAATATTGTGGTGGCCATTTGCTTGCTTTTGACTGGAACATTTTATTTGGGGGAAAACTTCACTCTTTTTCCTTGACAGATATTGACGGCTTAGAGAGCAGTGCCATTGGTGGCCAGCTGATGGCCTCAGCTGCTACAGAGTCTCCTTTCACCCAGAGCAGGAGAATCGATGACTCCACAGTGGCAGGTAATGACCTGGGTCTTGAGTTTATGAACAGCCATACACTGCATGTGTTACCAGCAATTAAATTACTATGTAGTGACTTGAATCAAGATTTTGTCTTTGTTAGAAAAAGTAATTGATGGAAGTTACTTAGCATCATCCAGCTGGTAATGCAACATTTATTATTTATAAGAACAAAGTGAAACGTGATCCCATATAATCCATTAAGTTATATTTCCTGTTGTAGAATTGTGTGCAACTCAGTACTGCTCATTTGATGGCAAGAGAGTGCCATGTCATTCATTGCCAGCTCGTTTTTGTATGTAGAAAGTGACTCACACCCCTCCATGTTGCAGGCGTGGCATTTGCTCGCTATATTCTGGTGGGCTGCTGGAAGAACTTGATAGATACTTTATCAACCCCACTAACTGGTCGAATGGCAGGGAGCTCCAAAGGGCTGGCCTTCATTCTGGGAGCTGAAGGCATCAAAGAGCAGAACCAGAAGGAGCGGGACGCCATCTGCATGAGCCTCGACGGGCTGCGGAAAGCCGCACGGCTGAGCTGCGCACTAGGTACCAGTGGGAGTCGTGTTCCCTGGCTGTGGTCCTGAAGAACTCACTGAGAATGATCTGGCGGTGGTGGGGAAACCCTTCAGAAGGGGTTCTGCCAGGTGAATGGTTGCAGGATATACTCAGTCAAGAAGTCATTGTCTGTCTTCTCTAAAGGGGTTGCTGCTAACTGCGCCTCGGCCCTTGCCCAGATGGCAGCTGCCTCCTGTGTCCAAGAAGAAAAAGAAGAGAGGGAGGCCCAAGAACCCAGTGATGCCATCGCACAAGGTAACAACTGGAGAGCCAGACCCACCTAGTGCCTTAGGTGTGGTATGCACACACCTGCACAGGCCCACACATGCCAACCAACACTGGTGCCTGTTCTGTGTGTGATGCCCAGTATGTGCACACCACTGATCCACAAGATCCTGCTGAGCCACAGGCTTGGGTCTGTTCTATGTGGGTGACCTACGTAAGATCCCTCTGGAGAATGAGAGACATACTGACCCCTGGTGGCAAGCAAAGTGCAGCAGGTGCTGCCAGGGGTCCCACAGGCCCACCTGGCCGAACTGTTCACACCTCTGTCATCATCTATTCATGGCTTTGGCTCTTCACAGCAGTGCACACTTGAAGACCCTTCAGGTTATAGTGGCGGAAGGCAGATTGGCCAGTTTTCTAAAGGGGAAAATTAAACAGGTGGAGAAAAGTCATGAGGGGAGGCTCAGGAAGAGGAGGCCCTTATCAGAAAAATCTGAGCTTTGTGAACTTGGGAAATGGCTAATTTTTAACGTGTTGAAATCAGTGAGTTGATGAAGCTGATGATTATCTGGATCTAAGGGAAGGGAGTGACCATCCTGACAGCAACAGAAGGTACAAGGCAGGCGGCAAACCAAAGGGAAAATGCAAGCTTGGTCCAAATCGTGTAACTACTATCAGATATGCACTGTAGCAAGTCACTGAGTCAGCTGTACATTTTTAGCTGAGAAACACAGCTTAGTTCTGTGTTTCTCAGACTTGAATAAAATTTAGAGACCCATTTGAAAGCAAAATAGTTCTCACAGATCCCCAGTGTTAAAAAGGAGTCTCACAGTTTTACTTAAATATTATACAACCATAAACTACATAAAAATCCTTACATTCACAGTTATTTTTTAAAAACCCACAAAACCATGACCATGATATTCAGATGAAATACAAACAATAGAGGCTGGGCACGGTGGCTTACACCTGTAATCCCAGTACTTTGGGAGGCTGAGGAAAGTGGATGGCTTGAGTGCAGGAGTTCAACCCAGCCTGGGCAAATAGTGAAACCCTGTCTCTACTCAAAATGCAAATATTAGCCAGGCATGGTGGCATATGCCTGTAGTCCCATCTACTTGGGAGGCTGAGGTGGGAGAATCGCCAAGCCTAGGGAGGTCCAGGCTGCAGTGAGCCATAATCATGCTATTTCACTCTAGCCTGAGTGACAGAGTGAGACCCTATCTTAAAAACATAGATAAAAAGGGCAAGTGCAGTGGCTCACACCTCTAATCCTAACACTTTGGGTGGCTGAGGTAGGTAGATCATTGGAGGTCAGAAGTTTGAGACCAGCCTGGCCAACATGGTGACAGAAACTTCTCTCTGCTAAAAAAAAAAAAAAAAAAAAAAAAAAAAAAAAAAAAAAAACGAAAGTTAGCTGGGTATGGTGGCAGGTGCCTGTCATCCCAGCTACTTGAGAGGCTGAGACAGGAGAATCACTTGAACCTGGGAGGTAGAGGTTGCAGTGAACCAAGATGGCGCCACTGTACTCCAGCCTGGGTGACAGAGCAAGACTCCATCTCAAAAACATACATACATACATACATACATACATAAAATTAGTATCACATTTATGAGACAAATGATGTTTTGCTAAAAATCACTTTGCTCCTTGTATTGGAAGATGGTTCAGATTCCTTTGAGGTTGGCTTGCTGTATTTCTGGGTTCTGAAACATCACTTAATTATCTCACCAGATGCAATGACTTGAAACCTTTATTCAAGGAGGACACTGGTTTGGCCTTGCCTTAGCATTTTGCATTACTGAAGTCATCACCTTCTGCATTCTCTCATTAATCATCTACAATTCTTTTTAATTTTTTTTTTTTGAGATGAAGTTTTGCTGTTGTTGCCCAAGCTGGAGTGTAATGGTGCAATCTCAGCACACCATAACCTTCACCTCCCGGGTTCAAGGGATTCTTCTGCCTCAGCCTCCTGAGTAGCTGGGATTACAGGCATGCGCCATCATGCCCAACTAATTTTGCAATTTTAGTAGAGACGGGGTTGCTCCATGTTGCTCAGACTGGTCTCAAACTCCCCACCTCAGGTGATCTACCCACCTTGGCCTCCCAAAGTGCTGGTATTACAGGCGTGAGCCACCACACCCAGCCTACAATTTTTAAAAGTATTATTCGAAGCTCACAAATACAGACTCAAGGGATGAAATGATATTGGTCACTTTCAGTGACAGAGCAGTCATTCTGGTGCCCAAAATATACATAAATAAGTTGTTTTAGAGATGATGATCATAATGAAAGCCTAACATTACAACAATCTCAGAGAAACCTTGCAGAAAGCCAGGAATTCTTCCATTTGACCAATTTTTGGGAAGTGTAAGGATCTGGGCCCAGATGGCTTTAGCTGGAATTGGCTCATGAAACCCATCCACACTGCCGTGCCTGGCCCAGAGCCCATGAAAGGGCCTGGGGGAATGGCACCTGCCAGCTCAGGATCCATCCGACTTCTGGAACCGCAAAGCTGGGGCCACTGGCACGTGGGACCCGCCGGCTGGGTGGTTTGCATGACAGTCTGCAAGGACCTGCTGTGGAGGCGCTGGCTGCCACTGAAGTCTGTCCTTTCCTTTCTGCCCTTGCATGACACACATTCTTTCATCTTCATTCTTTCTCTCTCCCTTTCTGTCTCCCTTACTCAACCTGTTATTTTAATAAATGTCTTTCTGGCACAGTGAAACTAAAAGTGGAGCAGAAACTGGAGCAGATTGGGAAGGTGCAGGGGGTGTGGCTGCACACTGCCCACGTCTTGTGCATGGAAGCCATCCTCAGCGTAGGCCTGGAGATGGGAAGCCACAACCCGGACTGCTGGCCACATGTGTTCAGGTGCATGACGGGCTCCCAACCCCAGCTGGCACCGACCCTGCCTTGGGAAGCCTGGAGCAGGCTTTGGGGGTGGAGAGGGGTAGACTCAAGAGCCTGCCAGCATGTAAAGTGATTGTAACAATTCACAGAGTTTGAGTAAACTTCACATGAGACATGGAAAGAGAAGAGGGAATAAGGAAGGGCCCAACTAAATGTATGTTTTGAGAACAGGGGCCAGAACTGGGTCTGAGGAATTGTGACTTTTCTATTGACATTTTTATGAGAGAGAGATGTGTTGTCCCAAGGAAGAAAAACCAGTTAAATAATGGATTGAGATGACTATGTAAGTTAGGTGAATACTGCGCAAATCTAAAACTGGTCACGTTACCACAATATTACATTGCTATATGCTTATCAGCGTCCTCTTTACTTAAAGATTTCAGATAGCTTATTTGGATACAGAAAATAGAAGACACCTAGTTTTAATTTAGCTAGACCGAGAAACAAAACAAATAGTACCCCTCTGCCAAAGACAGGCCAAAAATTTAGCTCTAAGCATTGTAGATCAAAGTGAAAAGAAACTCCCAATTATATAGTGCACAGTGCCTGTAAGATGAAACCCAGCAATAGCTCCAGAGTCCAAGTCCTCTTACGATTAAGACTGAAAGCAGGTCTCCCCAAGTGTTGCCTCAGGGCAGACCCAGCACCGTGGAAGGAGCACTGCCCGTGGAGCAGGGCAGGACTGGCCACACTGTTCCTTCTCCTTCTCCGCAGCACACGCCCCAGGCTTACTCCAAACCCAGGTCTAGGCAGAGCAGGCTTGGGGCAAGAGTGACCAAGGCGATGGCCGATGGCCCAGGGCAGCAGCCAGAGCTGGGTTCAGTTTCACGTCTTCAGAGCAAATACAGCCATGAGTGTTTGTTGAGCAAAATTGTTTTATTATGAAGACTGCTGACCTGATGCTCTTTATTGTCCTAACAAGAAAAAGAAAGGAAAAAAGAAAAAGGCTTACCTGGTGCCCAAGCAGTGGGTTAGAGATTGAAAAATTCCCTGATTCTAGAACATCACAGTGGATTTTCCACAACGCTCTTTACCAGTAAACGGACTTCCTCCAAGATGAGGTACCTTGCAAACCATCTTCGTCCCCAGTTCTGTTGGGAACAAACCATTTGGAAGTTGGCAGTTGTAGCACGTGTGGTGACACTTCCCTGTGTTTGCCATGATTTGGTGACCCCCCTCCCACCCAGCTGCCTCCCACCCAGCCGCCACCCACCCCACCCGGACGTTGAGTTATGTGGCACCATCAGGACCAGGCGGGACATGGCTGGAAAGAACTCACTGTGGCTGGATGGCCTGTCCATCATAGGCATGGTCATTCTGGGATCCTATCATAAGGAAACGCTTCCCAACTCCTAATCAGAGCACTGTGTAGAGGGAAACAGGGTGCCTGGGGAAAAGTGGCTGAAGCAGCAGGAGGGCAGATAAGCCAGTGAGCTGGGCGATGCAGGGGGACTGGATGAACCAGGCCCCATTGGCCATCTTTCTCCCAGCCTGGGATGCGAGAACCCAAAGAATCCTTTACCCACTTCAAGGCTGTCTTGTCCAACTCAAATACTACTATTACTAATGCAGTGTGACATGAGAACACAGGAGGGAAGGACTGACTGATCACAGGAAAGGAGGGAAAGCTGGGGAGCTTGCAGAGCTGGCTGCACTTCCTTTGTCAGGCACTGTGGGGTTGTGGAACTGCCGGGTGATCGTGGCTCCTAACAGCTGCTTATCTGTGCTCTTTCTAGGGTGTGTGAGTACGTGGGCACCCTGGAGCACAACCACTTCAGTGACGGCGCCTCGCAGCCCCCTCTGACCATCAGCCAGCCCCAGAAGGCCACTGGGAGTGCTGGCCTCCTTGGGGACCCTGAGTGTGAGGGCTCGCCCCCTGAGCAGAGCCCAGAGCAGGGGCGCACCCTGAGCACAGCCCCCGTTGTCCAGCCCCTGTCCATCCAGGACCTCGTCCGGGAAGGCAGCCGGGGACGGGCCTCCGACTTCCGCGGTGGGAGCCTCATGAGTGGGAGCAGCGCCGCCAAGGTGGTGCTCACCCTATCCACGCAGGCTGACAGGTGCGCGGCGCCAGCCTCCCACTTCCCGGGAGGCTGCTCACCCACATCCATCTGGTCTCAGTCATGCCAGGGTCGACCCATTTGTTAGCCAATCACTTAAATCTCTTCCATCTTTCTCAAGCTTAGTTCTCTCTACTGTTATACCCATACTTGGAATGAAACGTTTTCTATGCGCTTACTCTGGGATCTCAAGCGACCTCACCTCCCTGGATCCTGCCTGGCTTCTTCATTGGTAAAATAGGGTCATTTTTTAAAAGTAGCTCTGTCATGGTATGTGTGTACCTATGTAACAATCCTGCAAGATCTGCACATGTACCCTAGAACTTAAAAGTACAATTTTTAAAAAGTAGCCCTGCCACTGGGTAGTTGTGAGGGCAAATTAATTATTAACCGGATGTACCTGGAATGGAGCTTGACAAATGGTAAAAATCCACTATTTTTATGATTTTGGCTGCTTTCAAAAATTCCCCACCCATGTGTTATTTATTGATGCCCAACAACCACGTGAAGGTAAAGAGGGAAAATCGCCAATAACTGTTTGGTGGCACTTCCTGAGGTTGAAAGTGCATTTGTCCACCCATCACACACAGCTCCACCTCATTTACCTCTTCAGCGTTCGGGCACTCTGTCCCAGACCCCCCTCAGGGGCACAGGGAGGACAGACAGGAGGGCGATGGGAGTGGGAGGAGCACTCCCTGAGCTGGGACTCAGGTTGACCTGAGCTCCTGTCCTTGCTTTGCACTCGCCAGCTGCCGGGTCTTGTCTGTACACGTAGCTGCACTGAGGCTCAGTCTCTCCATCTCCTAACCCACTGCCATAATTGCTTTCTCCTGCTTATCCAAGTTGGCTGTGAAAATGTTTTAGAATTTGGAAGTAAATACAAGTGTCAGGTGGAATGTAGTATTCATCACTATTTTCTTACTAGGAATGAGGGAGGAGAAATGGTTAATGAGACCCAGAAAGCAAATGGTATCAAAATTGAAAGTTACAAAATAGCAAGAAAAATATATTTGTTTCCATCATTTATAAACATTTAATCCACTAATTCCCATCTTAAAACTTGTGTGTCTCATTTTTCTCCTTCAAAAACGACTTGTGATTCCATTTCTATTAGAGACCCTGTCCCTGAAGCAGCCCATGGCACCCCCAAAGCACTGCTTGCCCTGTGGTGTCCCTAGGCTTGGAGGGCAGATAGCAGGGTGACCCAAGAGCCATGAAGGCTCACCTGGCACATTCCTCATTGTGGCCTCATAAAACAGAGATCGGAGCTCTCCATTCCTCATTCCAGTGACCTTCAGATCCTCCCCTAAGTCCTGCTACTGGGCCCCCCATCTTCTGCTGGCAAGGTCTGTGCCCAGCTGAATGGAAGAGAAAAGGAACCTGCAAGGCCCATCATGCTAGGGAACATTCTTTCTTCCAAACAGATCCTTGCGTTCCCATAACATCCAGGCCTTTGGGTGTATGAGAGCAGTCCCCACCCTGGAGGGGACTTACAGAATCCACTCTTAGCTATTTTTGTATCCTTTCCAGGATTATACTCATAAATTATAGACAGATAAACCTTATTTATTAACGTCCTGGATGTTTTTTTGACATCATTTATGAAATTGAAGCTAATTCTGAAGATTCCATTCCCAGTTACTCAGTTTCTGGGAACAATGCTTTGCCATCTTTCAACTTCTTGCCAAGCATTTTTTGAGTGCCTACCATGGTGGAGCTAGATCATGAGGGCACAAAGATATTTTTTAATATATTATTTTCGCCTTTGAATTAAAATCTCATGGTTAGAGCAAACTTGTGCACAGTTAGAATAGATATAATACCATACATTTGTCTACAGTGTTTACACAGCATTTCCATTAATCACATCAACAAAATTACCATAATCATCCTGCCATAAAGACCTTGCTGAATTGTTTTTAAAGAATGCATCTCTTTCTGTTTGCATCCAGGCTGTTTGAAGATGCTACGGATAAGTTGAACCTCATGGCTCTGGGAGGTTTTCTTTACCAGCTGAAGAAAGCATCACAGTCTCAGCTTTTCCATTCTGTTACAGATACAGTTGATTACTCTCTGGCAATGCCAGGTAATTCTTTCCCTGAAGAAACCATATGCCAGGAAGTTAGCAGGAAATAGCCCAGGCCTCTGTCACCAGCAGTGTGCCTGAAGATTTGAGTCCACATTCCCTTTGCTTATATTCAGGCTAAGCCCAAGTATAGATTTATCTCCAAATTTTGAGGCACCATGTGTGAGGGGTGGTAAAACTCTTTGTGAATGGAAACACTGCTGCTGCCACATCTACAAGAATTACCACTGGAGCTGGACCAGGTTGTTCTGCTAAGTTTTGTGCTTGTGGTAGAAATTGTGTGGCTACTTAGGGTGCAGATAGCTTCCTTCACATGAGGGTGGAACTTTTCTGCATATCACAGACCATACCACACACCTCTGTCCAGCCAGCTGGTCAGAGGTGGTTTGTGGTATGTAGAAGCAACCACTGATTCCAAAAGTAATGATTAAAAAGGAAACTGCATACCACTCATGCAAAACTGATCTCAGAGGTATATCCCATTAATGATGGGTCAGTATCCCTGTACTCACCAGCAAGGCCAGGTGAAGAAATAAGGCCCCCTTGAAGACCAGTCTTGTGGAAGACAAAGTAGAGTTGTGCTGAATTGTCCAAGGGTCCCTCGCAGATGCAGTTGTTCAACAGCACAAGTGGTCGTCCTGAAACAGTGAGCACCTTGTCCCAGATGAGTTCAGGCAGAGACAGGGAGCCATGTGCCAGGGATATACCCTAGTGACAGGTTGGACTGCATACCTCTGAGGTCCCTTCCATCCTTAGGAATCTAAAGTTCTAAGTGCAGTATATTTGGCTTTTTCATCCTTGCTGCAGATTTGGATTTGAGAGCCACAGTTGTTTCCCCGCTGGTTTTTAACAGACTTTAAAACCTGAGCTATATAAAGCCAACCTCTCAGTCCCATCAGACTTCCAGAGAATCTCGGAGCCCAGGGGTAACTTTCAAAGTATTTTGCCTTGGAGAAAACAGTAGACTCTGAGCTTACAAAGAACAAAATGATCAAGGGCCAGGGAGAGGCAGTAAATCTAGAAAGAGGGAGCCTTGCTTTGCAATCAGTCAGGTAGGAATATAAAATGCAGCCTCCAGCACTTACCAGCCACAGTGTCGGAGGCAAGTCATATCACTTTTCAGACATTCAATTTTCTACTCTGTAAGACAGCAATAATTATATTTTCTTAGAAGAAAATATAATTGCTATAAAAATTAAAGTGATTAAAGACTTACAGAACCAACACAGTGTCTGATGCAGTTTTTTTACTGATTGAGTTTAAATCTCAATGTAAACTTTACAAAGCTGGTGTTCACTTAGGCCAAGGTTAAATTAAAACAAACTTCCAGAGGATACTATCAGCTTGTTTCTAACATCGGTTCTTAATGGAAAGTGTTTTTTTAAAAGAGCACTCCAGGATTTACTGCTACAACCTAGCCCAGTTATGTGATCTTAAAGAGCAGGGTAAACTTACAGTCAACATCCATGATGATTATTACAGGTTAAGTATCCCTAATCCAAAAATCCCAAATCCAAAATGCTTAGAATCCAAAACTTTTTAAGCAATGGCATGATGCCACAAGTGGAAAGTTCTACACCTGACCTCATGTGATGAGTCGCACTTGAAATGCAGGCACACAACACACAGTTTACTGAGGGTCCCAAAGGGAAAAACAAAATTGCCTTCAGGCTATGCATAAAGGTATATATGAAACAGAAATGGGCCGGGCTCCGAGGCTCACACCTGTATTCCCAGCACTTTGGGAGGCTGAGGCTGGCAGACCACAAGGTCAAGAGATCGAGACTATCCTGGCCAACATGGTGAAACCCCAACTCTACTAAAAATACAAAAATTAGCTGGGCGTGGTGGCTCATGCCTGTAATTCCAGCTACTCAGGAGACTGAGGCAGGAGAATCACTTAAACCCAGGAAGCAGAGGTTGCAGTGAGCCAGGATTACACCACTGCACTCCAGCCTGGGCAGCAGAGCGAGACTCTGTCTCAAAAAAAATTAAAAAAACAGAAATGAATTTTGTGTTTAGACTTGGGTCCCATCCCCAGTAGGAAGTAGAAGAGAGGCAATAGGACATGAGCAAGGAGGGGGTGGGGAAGATGAATGTGACAGTGGCCAAGACATAGCCCAAGACTGGGATAGGCAAGAATAGTATTAAAACGAGACAGAGCAGGCCAGACAGCATGTTACGGAGCAGCAGAGGGACCAGGCCTGCTTGGCAAAGGCTGCAGAGGTTTATTAAGGATTGGCACAGCAGATGGTGACTGTGAAAGGTGACAGTAACAAGATCAATAATAATGGCTAACAATGTTGGCCAGTGAGTATATGCTGGGCCCATGCTGAGCACTTGGTGTGTATTATCATGTTTAATTTTGGAAGCAATTTTAGGAGTGGGCAGTATTGTCCCCAGGTTTAGAGACGAGATCGTTAAAGAGGAATATCTTTGGCCTGACCTAACACAACTACTAAATGGTGCCAGGATATGAGCCCAGACAGTCAGACTTCTCAGCCCTCCGACTGAACCACTACCTCATTCCCTCTTATTGACAAATCTCGATCACACCTGTCACATCCCAGGTACCGGAACTACAGTGATGAATGAGACGGTGACGCAGGCCTTACTGAGTGAACCACCACATCCTCCTTGAATCTCTCTCTTCCCTTTGTTAGCCAATATCAAATTACCCTATTGGTCCTACCTAGATTGTCACCCTCTCTCTTTGCTTGAATAGGTCAGACTATGACTGAGTTTGGCTTTCTGGCATTTATGTTCTTGCCTTCCCATAGGAGAAGTTAAATCCACTCAAGACCGCAAAAGCGCCCTCCATCTGTTCCGCCTGGGGGATGCCATGCTGAGGATCGTGCGTAGCAAAGCACGGCCCCTGCTCCACGTGATGCGCTGCTGGAGCCTTGTGGCCCCACACCTGGTGGAGGTGAGTACTTGGAAGGTGGGAAGGGGCTGGAACTAATAAGTCAGTGAGCAGCAGCACCAGCATAGGGGCCTGCATTCATGTCTGGGGACAAAGCACTGTGGGCATTGGGCAGTGGGAAGTTGCTTATCACCTGGTCACAAACATCACTGTTTTCTGGTTATACTTCATGGCATCTAAAGAATCGCCCCAAAGGGCAGTACTACCTAGTCTCACTCTGACCCTCTTTCTTTGCAATTATACGACTGAGCTGGTTTTTCATTTTTCATGATCTGGTATCAACCTAAGCCTGGAAGAGAAAGACTGTGGATGATTCCTAATAGCTTTATTTTTATACATAAATACACCATTGTCTTTGGTTCCTACCTATCTATTTTTCTAATAGCTAAATATACTCAGGACGGTGTCCTTTCAGTCAGGGAACCCTATGTCTTGATTTTCCCAACAAAATTAATAAGACCCTTTCACTCTCCAAAGGAAAGCAGTTTGTGTGATCAATTTCATGGCAGCTCTACATCTAAGCATCTCAGTACATGAGAACTGGCCACTTCTAAGTTGACAGGGAAAACTGTTGCCTGTTTTGCAGTGATAACTATTCTTAATGGCCCTTTTGCCCTTATCTGGTAGAGCTAAATCATAAAACACTTCTTGGAACTTAAATTATTAACCTGAGAACTTTCTGTTAAGAAAAGTGGGTAGAAAATTTAAAAACAATGAGTTCGTGTCCTTTGTAGGGACATGGAGGAATCTGGAAACCATCATTCTCAGCAAACTGATGCAAGAACAGAAAATCAACCACCACCTGTTCTCACTCATAGGCGGGTGTTGAACAATGAGAACACATGGACACAGGGAGGGGACCATCACACACTGGGGTCTGTCGGGGGGCGGAGCTAGGGGACAGCGGGGGGGCAGGGAGTTGGGGAGGGATAACATGGGGAGAAATGCCAGATATAGGTGACGGGGATGGAGGCAGCAAACCACATTGCCATGCATGTACCTATGCAACAATCCTGCATGCTCTGCACATGTACCCCAGAACCTAAAGTGCAATAAAATATAAGAAAATAGCAACATAATCATGGAGAAAGAGCCCATAGGTTATCTTTTACTTTACAATAAGGACTCCCCAACGTCTTGTGGCTTAAAACAACCACCATTTATTTACCTTATGATTCCATGAGTCAAAAATTTGAGGTAGGCTCCTCTGGGCAGTTCTAGTCATGGCCAGGCATGGTGGATCTCATTGGCTTTAATTGTGTGTATATGGTCAGCTGGTGCAAAGACTGGGGCCAGATGGTTCATGTTGGCCTTAACTGGGAAGGCTAGACAAAGGGGTCTCTCTCTTCATGGTCTCTCACATAGACTAGCCTCCTGCAAACTAGCTCCAGCTTGTTCACATGACACCCTTAGAGTTTCCAAGACCAACAACAGGACAAACCCCAAATCACGAGTACTTTAATCCTGTACTGACATGATGTTTGCATGTGTTCTGCTGGCCAAAGCAGCTCACACATCCAAGCCCAGGGCCAGTATTTGAAAGGACTACTCAAGAACCTGGATACCAGGAGGTTTGAAAACCAATTATAGCTATTGTGACAATTTGTCCCTTACCTCACTGAGGGACAGATGACTCATCTGATCTTCCTATGTGTGGGGCACATTTAAGATGAAACCATGAGGCATCCCTAGACTGGGTTCTGGTGGCTTTAGAGTGAGCATGTTCTATACCATTCAAGAAAATTGTCATGTTACAGAAAAAGAAATTACCAGAAACTTTTTCTTTTTCCAGAAACATCAACATGAAATTGATGTTGTGTCTAATAAGCTGGTTACATTGTTAAAAATCCAATTTAGTGTGGAATTCGTGTATATTTATCCCTTAGAATGTTTTGACTTTAACAGAATTGCTTCCTCTACCTCCTTGTAATAAGGCAGGTTAGGAAAGCCTTCAGAAGCCACATTCTCACTTGTCTGCCATCCTGATGGTGTGCCACTCTCTGAATTTTGCAGGCTGCTTGCCATAAGGAAAGACATGTGTCTCAGAAGGCTGTTTCCTTCATCCATGACATACTGACAGAGGTCCTCACTGACTGGAATGAGCCACCTCATTTTCACTTCAATGAATTACTCTTCCGACCTTTCGAGCGCATTATGCAGCTGGAGTTGTGTGATGAGGATGTCCAAGACCAGGTCAGTGTGACATGGTAAACAGTGTCATCAACATCATAGCTGGCTCTTACTGAGTGCAGTGGCAGGCACGGTTCTGTGAGTTTTACACACTTACTCTTTCCAATAATCCAGTGTGGAATCTGTGACAAAGAGAAGTTAAGCAATTTGGCTATGGTTACATAATCAGTAATTGGTGGAGCTGGGATTTAAACCTGGGCAATCTACTGGCCTGTCTCTTTATACCTGGCCTATATTCCTAACTACTGCCATACTGTCAACCGAAGGCAAAGTAAAGAAACCAACTGGAGATTTCATATTTCACATGATGGTAGGCTAGGAATACAGGATCTCTCTCTCTCTCTCTCTCTCTCTCTCTCTCTCTCTCTCTCTCTCT